TCACCCACACAAAGACACAAGCACTTTGGCGCCATCCCTGCACTCCGCCTGTCTGGAATGGCAGGGTCAAAAAGTCAGGCACGACAACATGGCAGCTGTGATATCGTCCATGCGGTCCTTAAGTCTGCTGCAGCGTGAAGCAGAGACTGTTTCTCAGAGGGAAGTGACCCGCGTCTGAGGAGGTGAACCTTGGTCCAATCGGAGGACTGCTGAAGCCTGGCAGTGCTACCTGCAGGGGCTTTTACTCCGACGAAAAAACAGAGGGGAAAAGAGGAGGAGGAGACGGAGGACAAGAAAGAGATGGTTTGAAAGAGTCGGAGAATCGCTGAATGGACAAACAAGTCTGATGTAGAAAATCAATCGATCAAATCAACTGATCGCATATATTGTACATCACAAAGTGACTGGAGAGTGGAGGTTCCACATAATAATGCTGACCCAAACACGCGTCGTGTCAGGGCTTGTCAGCAGATCAGCGTGGGAGCAGACGATGGAGTGTGAGCAGACGGATTATGTCCAATATGAGGATTGAATTTCTCAAAAGGAGCGAGCGTTGCGATGTGTCCTGTGCAGCGATGCCGTTCACGTCTTGTGGCTGACATGGTCCGCCGTTATACAACAGAACCTCACTTTAAAACTGGCTGGAGCAAGCTCATGAAAACACGTAATGAAATTCTTAAAAAAAAAAGACACAAAATCAGTCAAAGTAAGATCAGCACCACGGCCAGCTCCACACCAGGACTGACGTCAGTCCTGGTGGGTTTGTACACATTTGTTTAAGGTTCTGTCATGGCACTGACACATTACACGTATTAGAAGTACAACGGGAGGTTACAAGAGGCTGGAATGGGTTCAGTCTTAAAGGGGCACTGAGCAGAGCAGGCAGACTGTGTGGGAAAAGCAGAGAACAGTTTCATACAAGAACTAAAAGAAAATCTTCTTCTTTTTTAGTGTTTTTGCTGCCAGAGAAAACTCAGTTTGAGATTAAGTTTCACACTAATTCTTTTTAAATTATATATATATATAAAAAGTACATTATTATTGTTGCTATTTCTACTGTATATAAATATTTTATATACTCTTTTACTTACATACTTGTTGGTTGTTGTTGATGCTAAGTTGTTTTTTTTTTTTTACAATTTTTGTAATTTCTTTCTTTTTATTGCCCACTCAAAATTCATGTAATTGATTTAATTAAAAGAAAAAAAAATCAATAGAGTCATCATTAAGGCTAATAAATCGATAATCGATAGCTGCAGCTCTACTTGGTACCGACTTAATTTAACTTGTGTATTTTTGTGCAAACATAAAAATACAATTACAGTTATAATTTTAAGGTGAAATAACAATAGCAATAATAAGAACTCCAAGATGGCTAATAACGCTTAAGCAACTATTTTAATTTTATTACTATAGAGCGTGTTTGATTGCAAAATAAAAATAAAAGAAAGTGCTTTTAGAACTAATGACAAAATAAAAATAAAAGAAAGTGCTTTTAGGACGCAACACCAAAACACCAACTCCTCCGAATACCAAACACACCAAAAAAAAAACAAAAAACCCAAAAATCTGTCACAATAAATGAGTACGAGTTGTAAAATCAAAATTCAAGTATAAGGTTCGTTTCATGTTGCTGCTACGGAATTGGACCAGAGTCCTAGTCTACAGCAGGGGCTGACAGTGAAATAAGAACTGGCAGAAGGTTGGACAACCCGCCTGCTGGTTCTCCTCAGATCTCCTGCAGAAGGTTGACAGGGAAGAAGCCAAGTTTGCGTCCTGTGCTGACCTTCAGGTAACCGTTCACCTCCTCGCCCTTCTTCACCACTATCTAAGAACACACACACACACACACACACACACACAGCAAACAGAGTTATTTAACTGGGAACTAACTGACGTTTTTGTAAACATGGACCTCTGTATGAGTTTTCTTGGTGTGTTTTTCTTGTTGCCGTCAACTGAATTCAGTATATCTAAAGTTCAAGTCCAAAGGAAGAATAATCTGGTGAATTAATATAAAATATAGCTTGTAAGTCAAATATATTTTGGAGATAACAATCAAGTTTTTTGTGATAAAACACATTCTCGTAAATTCAAAAACACAAAGTCATAAACTGATCAATATATCGGTTCAGAAGTGACACCAAGGCAGAAGCACAGAAGTCAGGGTTTAGGCTAATTTACTGCAACCAGAGCTGGAATGGAACAGCTGTGAGGCCTCACAACAGGAGTGGACGTAAATCAGCGGCCCACCAACATTTGTCTCTGTATGTCCACATGACATGTGGACATGAGTGTGTGTGTGTGTTGTCTAAAAATAGACACTTCAGGTCATTGTTAATCATGTCAGGACACACGCTGTGTGTAACCACATGACTAAATTTATATTTGTGTGTCTATGTCATACTGGTGTAACCATACTTGTGGGGACAAAAACGCAATTATTGTGGGAACACCTGTACTTGTAGGGACTGGTGCACTGACTGATAGGGTATTTTGGGGTTTAAATTAGAAGAATTAGAAGTTAGGTCGGGTTAGACTTGAATGTAGAATGAATATTTAGTTTATATATTTTTAAACAGTTAAGGTGAGGGCGGGGTCCAAGGACTGCAATAAATCTCCAGGTTTGTGTGTGTGTGTGTGTGCAAATGTGTTTACTAACCTGATCTTTCTTCAAAGTGATCTGGCCCATCTCTCTGTTACCCACAAAGGAGCGGGTCACCTTGTAGACGCTCTCCCCTGCTCTAACTCTGATGATGTAGTTTGCAGGTATGAAGCCCGTTCTCACTCCAATCTTCCCCTGACGGACCAGAAGGTTCAACACTGTTGCCTTGATATCTGAACAATTCAGTCCATTGTTCTAAAGGGCTTTGAAATCTGAGTAACACTCCAGAATAGTTGCTGGACGCCAAGGTCTGCTGTTGTGTCTTCAGTGTCACAGACATTGAAAAAAAGATTTGATTTGGTATTTACCCTCCACCATTCCTCGTTGGAGTCGTCTATCACTGTGATTCTGTCTCCAGCACTGAGGGACAAACCAGAGACTTTAATACAAAAATATGATTCAAGTTTGTGGTATGTAACAGCGATTCCGCGGACTTACTGCACATCCAGGTCGTCTTTCTCTATCGCCTTGAAGCGGTAAAGAGCCAGATAGTAGTGAGACTGACTGAAGACACCAATCTTTCCGGCCTGAGGCTTTTTACTCTGGACAAACACGAAACTGAACATCAGTGCGTGTTCATGTCAAGTCATTTAATTGGTCAAATTAGGCGTCATTTAGACTCGAAGACCGACTCTTTTTACTGATTCGGATCTTTGTCTCTCGAATGGTAAAATGAATATAAGATAAAATAAAACGAATCCTGAACGAATCATTTCATTCATTTTACAGCAGGTGGCGCTGTAGCCCTATTGTGGGCGTTGTAAAAAAAGGCTGCAGTTCTCCGACACTAAATTTGTTGATATAATTCTCGAAAATATTTATTTACCACTAATTATGATTTCATGAATGAATAATTTATGTCGGGTGCCACGTGACAAAAGAACGAGGACCTGAGGACGGACGCTGAGAATGAATCACTCGCACATTATTAGCAGGAGTAACGAGTGAGTGATTCATTCGCAGCTAGTGATTCATTTGCAGTGAGTGATTCATGAGTTCATAATGAATGAATCTTTCGTAAGACTCAGGTGTCACGACTCATATAAAAGATTCGTTCATATTGAACGAATCACTTGCGAACGGCTACTATCACTACTTTCTTACCTTCTCATCTGCAGGAGCTTTGTCTCCTCTTTTTTCTCCCTCTGTATTTGCTATAACATAGAGTCAAAAAAACATCGGTCAGAGAACATCGTCCATTAGGGTGGTTTTGAAAGAGCACGCAGCATGAACTTACATCCTTCTCCTCCCTCATCCTCCTGTTTTGGCTGGGACTCATCTTCTTCCATCATCATCATCTGGACAAGAACAGCGGCGACAGCGTCAATAACACACTTCTGCCGCGGTGGACGAATCAGCAGAGGACAATGTTCGATTCAATAAAGTCATGATCTGATCTGTGGGTCTTCACTCACGTTCTTCTTGTCTTCCGAGCCTTTCTTGCGCTCCTTGTTGGCCATGATCACGCCGATCCTCAGCGTCTCAAACACGGGGTCGGTGCGGTTGGACTGCGCTGCCGGTCAAACACGATCAGTCGGTGAAATGAAAGCAAAAAAGTGTATTGAAGAGACATCATGACATCAAAACCATAAACAAAAGCGAAATCAGTTTTGACTCTTTATTCTTGACTTTAAATAAAGCTTTTTTGTCCAAATAAAATAATAATAATAAAACAATTAAGTAATATTAATAAATAAATATCAGGTAAAAAAGTGCGTTAAACAAGTCCAGTATATATATATATAAATATATATTATTTATAATCGGGGCTTTTCGTTGCGATATTGGACTGATATCGGTACGATAACTATTGTGCACCCCTCATTTTAAGCTAACGTGTTGACAAAATGACATTTCTCCTTGAATATAAACTTTATTATTTATAGTCCACATCTGATGTCATTGGTCAACCTTTGACCTTATCGTGTGTTTCATATCATACCAGCTATGACTTTTTTTTTCCCCCACTCAAAGTGCTCAGAGTGACTCACAGAAGGGCAGCAGCTGTGAGACTGTGGCGTTCTGCTGACTGCTGTACAGAGGCGAACTGTAGGCTCTCCTGAATCCTGGAGGCTGAAATAATAATAACAAAAAAAAAAGATTACGATCTAAAGATTTGGTTTAATTTTGTACAAAAATATCAACGTGAAACACGTCTTACAATTTTGCCAAAACACCTCTGAAACTCCACATAGGACTGACACTGATGGTGGATGCTGGTTTTGCAATTCTTACATCGCAACGCGAACTTGTTGTTCACTAAAAAAAAAAAAAAAAGTACACTTACAATTAAGTCTGTTTGCAGTTTCATGTAAAAAAAAAACTGAAATAGAAATAGCGATCGTACAGACAATCATTCTTGCACAGACGTCGCAGAACTTTGGTTTCTTGCAGTAGTGGTCCTTGAACTTGTGAGGTTTGTCGTTTACTGGTTTCACTGGCTCCACAGGAGGGAGTTCATCCTTCTCTTCCACTTCAACTTCCTCATCGTAGATGAAATAGACCTGGACATGGAAAAAACATTTACAGTGGATACTCAGTTTATTGATTAATTCGTTGCAGGTTCGATTTTTCCAAAAACATTTACAGTGGATACTCAGTTTTCAAACCTAATTCGTTCCAAGTTCGATTTTTCCCCTTAGGAATCGATGTAAAATGGATTAATCTGTTCCTGCTACGACAACTGGGGCAATTTTTGGTTAAGAATTGAATGCGTGAACCGAATCGTTCGAAAAGGGAGGCGTTCAACAACCTGAAAGATTGAACGCAGGTAAAGGACATGAATCATCAGCCAAGTAACATTTTGGGCAGCTTTTAAATTTGCAGGTTCACTTGTGACCTGATTATGGCTAAAAACGACAATGTGTCCAAGGCTGGAAACTGCTGCTTAATGTGCATATATATTAATAGGCATCATGGCTCAATCCAAAAAAAAAAAAAACTAGCTCACCTGATCCAATACCTTAGCCCAAAAGCTTAACATTCAACTGGTATCGTTGCTTTATCGGTATCGGACATAAAAAAAACTGTTAAAGTTTAAAAATGTATATATATATATATACCGTATATAAACATTTATTTCACAAAGTAACTGCTTCATAAAGCTGTTGCACCTTCTGAGAATGATTGATCGACTGATTGACCTTTAACCTATAGACCACAGATCTGCACCGCGGGTCGGCCAAAAGGTTTCTTTTTGTTCCCTGAATGAAAAAAAGAAAGAAAGAAAAAAGCACCGACCACTGGTGGCGCCTTTATACCAAACAAGATCCTGCAGAGATAATCGGAATGTGCAGACACACACACTCACAGAGGGGGCAAGAGGGCAACCACGGGCGGGAGTGGGTTGAAAGCACTCGGATCTGAAAATAGCCCTCTACGGGGACAGACAAAATTCCCCAGGATGAAGCAAAGCTTCAGATTTCTAAATAATCCAAAGTCAGAGGGAGAGACTCCAAGTGGCTCCACGTCTCCATCAGCGGCAGGATCAGGAGAACCTCCAGGCTGTGGATTTAGGCTGTGATAACTGATAATTCCAGGGGCAGTTCGCACATTACAGCACCATTACTCTGCACCTCTATTTAGCTGTCAGGGTTTTGGAGTCACCCTCTGAGCCTGACTGAAGGGATCAGCTAACAGTGGACAAATGCAAACATGCTTTGGCAACAAATCATGGCAGCAAAACGCATGTGCTAGAGCAGTGTTTCCCAAGCTTTTTTGAGCCACCGCACACATGTATCATCAGGAAAAACCCACGGCACATCACCAAACATAAATCTCACAAAAAGTATATTTAATGAAATATAATAATATTCTAGTTTAAATGTACTAAAAAATGTACTCCTGTTTAGTTGAAGCCAATGCTGATAAACTGGCAGGAATTGAAGAAAGACACTCACAAAGATCTTTTTCAACACCTTTGATTATCTTTTTTTTTTTTTAGTTTTGATAGCCTTCTGCTGCCACCTAGCAGAAGAATATTTAATTGTTCTGCCTTTAGTGCTTTGATGAGCAAAGAAAAATTTAATGCAATAAATAAATAATAGTTTTACAACCAATTAAGCAAAATTGATGATTGATGTTCTCTCGTGACCCGCTGCTTGGATTAACTATCTAACTATTAATCTTAATCCTTACCACTAATCCTAACTCTAATTCTAAGATTAACTAACTAAACTAAATCTTGTATCTGCAAAATCATCCCACCAGGACAGATTGGAGCTACAATAGTTCACCTAAAGACTCTGTCTCCATAAGTGTGGCTATACCAAAAATATATACACAGAAAGTATGTGAGAAAATATAACAACTATAATAATAACAAAGTGACTCTTAATCTTCATAGGAACCAAATACACTACATGTAAAGAAGTAGCCCCATTGGTGCATGTACTATACTACAGAGCAGTGGTTCTCAAACTGTGGTACACGTACCATCAGTGGTACGTGAGCGCTCTCTAGTGGTACGTGGGGAAAATTCATATTTTCATATTTACATTTTCAATTTAATAAATCTGAATTAAAAAAGGCTGCATCCATTTTCTTCCTTGTTTATTGAGTTTTTGGAGGATATTTTAAGTTTCCAAATTTCCATTTTTATTTAAAATTGTGAAGTCCAATGAGACAAATCCTATTTTTGAATCCGAGCTATGCAAATAGCATGGACTTGACTTTTTATTACAATTTAATTTCAGTGCAGAATGTTGTAAATACTTAAAAAATATATATTTCACAGTTATAGTTTGTTAGTTGCTAAACTGCTAGGCCTCTCACCATGTTGTCTTCCTCCTTCACCACATTATCAGGTAGAGGTGGGTTGTCATGAATGTCCACCGAGTCTTTGTCGTCCAACCTGCCAGTGTAGAGAAGTGTAAAAAGATGAACAGAAACA